TTATTCTATGGAGGTGCTTCATCGTCATCAGCTCCTCATCAACCTAATGTAGTTGCTCACGACGACGACGATGACGATGATGATGGTGATGATGATGACAGCGATGAGTCACAACCAGTGATACGAAAAAATCCTCTTCAAGACCGACAGCCACGCCCTGCAGAACACATTTGCGTCGTAGGCATCGATAGATTTTTTTTTATTATATTTTTATTTAGTTGTTTACTTTTTTTTGTAATTTTTTTTATTATATATCATTTAATACTTACTTTATTTCATTAATTTGGTTGGATTTGTTTTAATTTATTTTGTTAAATTTGTTGGACTTTTTGTTAATGTATTTTGGTTAATTTTGTTTATTACCATTTAATATCAGCTATTGTAATTTGTTTATCATTTACCATTTAATACTTATTGTAAGTTTGTTATATTTAAAATTATATTCAAATACCAAATTGTTATTAGTTTGATAAAATTTAATAATTGTGTTCGAAAACTTTCTTCAGTTTGTCACTTATTATCTCTTTTATTATAATCACATATAAAGCCAGCGTCCAATCTCATATTCTGGTATCGTTTTTTTAATCTTCATCAGCGGTTATCGAATGACATTAACTTGAAGTAAATGCAAATTAAAGTACAAGAGTTCTTATTTGATAAACAATTACATCAGTTCCTCATCAATTGTTACTTGATGACAGCAGAAGTGGACATGTTTTTCTAGTGTGTCCTGGGTTTATACAATGCCCACATCTTCTGTCTTGTCTAGATCTTTCTCGAATATCCATATCACAATGAATTAGATTGGATTTTGGATGACCACTCTCCCTCAATAAAGTTGGATTTGGTACAATCGGAAGCCAATCCTGAACCTTATCAGGGTCTTTGTCATTACCTATAAGGGGAACTCAAATTCGTAAAACTTAAAAACTTGTATACGGGATCCACAAAACAGTTATAGTCTTGACAAGTATGCGAGCAAGCTGCTATCACATGAGAGCATGGATACTTCAGAGCTTGAAAAAACCCGCAGTCGCACGTTTTGTCCCTTAGATTTACTCTTAACGACACAACTTCAATCCCTTGAAGAGGTCGCGACAACTCTGTAACACGAAACATTTCATTTCTTCTAGAGAAGCTTGTTACAGACATTCCATTTGATGCAACAATTTTTTTTTGTAGATATCAACTAATCTAGGGTGATAGACATGACCGCCTTGCATCCAGGTTTGAGCTTGTCCCCCGAGCTTTACACCCCAAACAAAAATATATAGTTTTTACCAAAGCCGCTACAGGTAAGTGGCGTGTACCCTTTAAGGTTGAATTGATTGCCTCAGCCAAGTTGGTTATCATATGTCCATATCGATATCCACCATCATATGCGTTCGTCCACATTTCTTTATCGATGAGGCTGATGTAATCGTATCCTTCCTCGTTTTTCGCCCGCAAATCTTGAAGCATTGCTTCAAACGTTTGAGGAACTAGTTCGTAACCTGATAAAAAATTTATAACTTACTAACTTGCTTTCTTTGCAAAATTAAAATGATCGAAAGAAAACAAACTACATCAGTTTTACTTACCCATGCACACAATTAATTGACACTCGTCATTCTTCTTATACCTTCTATGGTAGTTCGCAGTAATGTGTCGGAGACAATACCTATGTTGGACAAAGGGTGGTTGCCATATTGGACCCAAAGACTCTATTACTGCTTTGATCCCAGCTCCGCGATCTGAAATGACACAGATTTTTTCCCTCGTGATAACATGTGCACGTAAGTTTCGGAGGAAAAAAGCCCAAGAATCTATATCTTCTCCTTCAACAAGAGCAAAATCAACTGGAAGAATGTTGCGATTGCCATCTTGGAAAACAACCAATAATAAAACTTACTTGTATTTTCCATACAAGAAAGTCACGTCGATCTAGACCACATGCTTACAATATTTGACATCATTAACGCACTGTGGGTAAGTCTAAAAAACCTGGTAAAATTGACATCGATCGCGAAGAACTCGATCATTATGGTATGCATAGGAGGTTTCAAAGTCCACAATTGTCCTAGGATTCAACCTCCGCACTAGCCTAAACCAGCCTGGAAGTTCTTTGTAAGATGCATCACATTCGTCATGAAGTTTGACAATGGCATTTTGTTTTGCCAACCAAGTTTTTTTTATAGGAGACAGTGTACCCATACTGCGATTGTATAGCTGAAATCAACACAGCAACAGCTATATGAGAGCTTTCTTTTACCATGGGCATGATGTCTTGGCATATCACTTCAAAGTCCAAAATGTGATGATCTTGGTTGACCCCTCCAGCACAACATGTGTGAGGACCGTTGTATACTGTTAGTTCCCATATGTAGTTTTTCCTCTTCCTCTTCGATACGCGAACCATCCAATTGCATTCGTTTTTGCGTCGGGCACAGTAGCATACATATTTTTCTATCGTGGAGCGGTCGACTCTCGATTGAACATAATTACAGATATTGTAATTTTTTTATAGCCATCATCGCTTCTTCTTTTCTTGAAACTCCATGCCTAAAGATAACTCACCATTATTTATTGATGAGTAATATCCATAGTTACCGAGATGAGGCATATCCGCAAATTCTGGCCCGTACATTGCACCATAATCAGCTTCATACATGTGTGTTGGAGGGTCTGTTTGTGCCACATTTAATGGAACTTCATCTACGTTATCATCATCATCGGAGTTGAATTGCGGTGAATCTGGGTGAATGAATAGTCCAGTCTCAGCACCATCCGCACCAGGCTCACGAAATGGTTCTTTTTGTGGAGATTATGGTTCCTCTATGCTCTCCATATTTAGATCGAAGAACCTACTACTTGCATGTCTTCCCCTTGAACTAGATGGCATATCGACATTAAGATCGAAAAAGCTCGCAGTGGAATGCCTCCCCCTGGAGCTTGAAGCCATCGTGTCAAATGGAAACTGCACAGATTGTTGCGTCGATGACATCTCCATATTAAGGTAAAAGAAATTTGCAGATGAATGCCTTCCCCATGAACTGGACGTGATGTTGCCATACGGATTGTTCGTGGACGTACATATCGTAAGGAGTTGCGGATGAATGTCTCCCCATTGAAGTTGATGTGACGCCATGATGCGGATTTCCCATTATGGCGTTAAAATCATTACACATTACTGTAGTTGGGTTGTCAACTTGTTCAGCCAACCCGTAGTGGGAGCTTAATAAATGACCCCGAACAGCACGCACTTGAACAAACTTTACATACATCTCAATATCGTCGTCTGAATAATTACTTTGATAATCAACCATCATTTCAACATCATCATTGTTCGATAGTTCGAACGATGTATAAGTTAATGACAACAATGATGTTGGAAATCTGTACTGCAACGACAACATTCTTCTACTACTTCCAACATGAATCTTCCTCGAAATCTTCGTTATCAACTCCTCAAGAGTTATGTTTCTCTTGAATAATATTTTAACACGCTCATTTGATACGAAAACAACGTCGGTTTCATCTCCTCGAATTTCTCCATCATAATAAACAATAACTGAAAGTCGCACCATTCTTAGAGTTTAAAAGTGCGACAATATTATATCTGTAAAAAAAACAACTGAAACAAACCTGATTAAATAAATAATATATGAACGAAAATATAACACAATAAATTTTTTGCACATAAACATAAAAAATTTAAATAATATAATTTTATATTATTACCTACACCGCAAAAAATTTTCGACGTATGCTCCCGTTTTCCCCTTGAACTGTCATAGAAATTAATTGAAAACAATTACTATAATATTATTTTCAAATAATCATAATAAACAAAAAGTATAATAAAAAAATATTATAACAAAATTACCTTATAACTAAATATCGAACGAACTTTTGAATCAAATATAAGAGGATTGTCGGGTGTTATTTACTGGTTGAAAGGATTGTTGTATTAATTTCTCGGTTGAGAGGGAATTGTGAGAGAGCTTACGAGGAGAGGGCTATTTATACCCGAGAGAGGATGCTTTAAAGCCGAGAGGTTCGGGTAAGGCGTGTGATAATTGAGCATGTGATAATTGAAAAGTGCGGCCCCTGTCCCGCGTTGCGTAAGGCGTGCCCCAGGGACCGCGCTTTAGACACGTGTGTCCATGTCAGCATAAGGCACACTTCAGGGGGCGCGCCTTACCCCACGTGGCGCCAGATCAGCGTAAAGCGCTCTGCAGGGGGCGTCTTACTGCAAATGGTGTTAGATCGAGAAAAATAGTCTGAAGGGTGTCTGACAGAGAAAATTAATGGTAAAAGATGATGTTTCGGGAAAAACGCCTGTAATCACTCAATTATTATTCTATTTCGTCAATCAAACTATTAAATTATATAAATTATTCAATTAAGACGTCAGCAGTTAAAATCTAAATTCATTAAATTTAATAATAGACGATGACATGTCAATTAAATATTTTAGTATAATTATATATTTGGTCTCTATTACTTAGTCAATTTGATCTTAATTTTAATTAAATTCATTAAATTTAATCTTCTAATTAGATTGCGGCATATGTTAATATCTAAAGTTTAGTGTTTAAAATTATGTCGTTTTAAGTATTAAAACAACCGTACTAAAAAGATATCATTTTGGTGTGATATATCACGTCAACAATCATTAAGCATGTCATCGTCTCATTATTAACTTAACGATAGATTGATATAATTAAATATAAAATTAAAGTTTAATGTTATAATTGATAAAATTAAAATTTTAATAATTTAAATAAAATACTGGATAAAATTTAATGATATATGAAGTAGTGTTTCCTAATATTTATAAGTGATCTTTATATATAATATATATATATATTAAAAATAATGAAATAATAGAATGGATCTAACCCGTATTAAAATGTCATATCCGTTAAAGAAGTAATTAATGTAGTAAACAACACTAACATTTATTAGCAGAAAAAAAAATACTAACATAATCCATTAGAAAATCAAGCAAGACTATCCAAAAATAAAAAAACAAAGCACTCACGGAAACTGTTGCCAGATGCAACTTCTATACATAATGATTATAAGCCATGATAATGTATTCTTTTTTTTACCTAAATATCCTATTAAACGATTTTCTTTTAGGTACTAAAAGATTTGATCTTTTTTTCAAGGGTTGTAAAAGTGATCATCACAGCGGCATTTCCAACCAAGAGGCTTGTAATTGGAGTATTGATTGGCTGATGCTGGCCCAAAAACCTCCATGGCTTTGCTGGAATCAGCTCGTTGAAATGGTGAAGGAACTTGTACTGCCATGCAAGGGTGGCAACCATTGCACTTGTTGTGGCATCTTGGAGGAGTTGATCCCAGCCTTGTTTTCTCTTCAAAATATAAACCCTGTTGAAAACCCCAGAACCCATTACTAAATTCATCAGAGATCAAATATGGTGAAAGAAATAAAAGAGAGAGCTAAGTAAGGCTTGAATCCTAACCTGATAGAGGGAAGAGGTTGAAGACAGAAGAAGTAGAAAGCAAAGTGGGGAAACTAAAGTAGAGGTGTTACGGAGGAGAGAAATAAGGGAACTCATAATGATGATGAAGCAGTAACATGAGCATTGGGCTCCCAAAAACTGTTGCTTTTGACCCCAAAAAATAGAAAACAGTGATATGGAAAATATCAACTGCAAGTACATAAGAAACTTACTGCTGCTGCAAAGTAAAAAAGACAATGCAAGTAGTTAAAAAAAAGGGTAGCAATGAGAAGAGTGAATAGGAAGAAAAGGAAGGGAAAGGGTTCATAAATTGGTGTATGTGATGGTGGGTGGTGGTCTGATGAAGGAGATAAGTAAGAGACAAGTGTGGCAGAAGAGTGAAAGGAACAATACAGTAAAATGGCAAACAGATGGGGAGAATCTGCATCAGAAAGGAGGGGGGAGGGGACCCAATCGCACCATTTTTATCTTTTACTTGATTGGGTTCTTGAACAAAGGCCTATCTCATTTTAGCTGTTAGATAGAGTTTTTCTTTTGGGGATGCAAAATTGAAGTGGGGAGGGATGCTAGTAGTGGTTAATTTCCAGCATTTAATAACTGCCAACTCTTGATTCTCAAGTTCTCTTCAAATCTCACTTATTCAATTGATTTTCTATATGCTTAAAGCATTAATTATAAGTGTTTGGGCTTAAACATTAATCAGTTTCACTAAAAATATATTTTGAAAAATAATTTATATAAAATCAGATGGTAAATTTGTTGAAAAGTCAAATTTTGTGGCAGTTGCAATTGTCAAATTAAGCTGCAACTTTCGGTGGTTTTTCGGTGTAAAAGGTTGATACCGAAATTGTTGAATTTTATGACATGGTAAAATTGTTAAATTAGTCCATGTGTTTTAGGATATTTACAAGATTAGTCTTTAAGCTTTAACTATAAATATCATAACTCATTTACCTTCAAAACCATCCCAAATCATTCTAGCTTTCTCCCAATACTAAAGAATTTAGAGAGTTTCTTGAGAGTTGTTTTCTCATTTTTATCAAGAGAGAATTGTCATTGTTTTCTCCTTGTTAGATAGAGAGAAGTTGTAATTCCTATTTTCTAATAGTGAAATTCTTCTACCTTTGCCTGTGGTTTTTACCCTATATTATTTAGGGGTTTTCCACGTAAAATTTGTGTCTTCTTTATCTTCATTTTTATTTTCTCAAATTATCAGATGCGATTTTGTTCTATCCAATAGCCGTATTCCGCAACAATTGGTATCAAGAGCCAGATTAGAGTGTGTAATATATACTTATTGTCTTTGTAGTTGCCACTAAAAGGTGGATCCTCCAACATAAGAAAATAAGAAGGTATTACCTATTCTTTGAAGGTTCCAAAGAACTATTCACGATTGTGAAATAGTGGGAGCTATCCGTAATAGAAACTATGACAACAAAATTTGATATTGAAAAGTTCAATGGAAGAAGTTTCTCATTGTGAAAATTGAAGATGAATGTCATTCTGAGGAAAGACGATTGTCCATCAGCTATCAGTGAAATGCCGGTAGATTTCACAAATGACAACAAATGGATCGAAATGGATGAGAATGCTAAGGCAAACTTTCATCTAGCATTAGCAGATGAAGTATTGTTAAGCATCGAGGAGAAGAAGACATCTAAAGAGATATGGGATCATCTCACCAAACTGTACCATGCCACATCGTTGCACAATAAAATTTTCCTTAAGAGGAAATTGTACACTCTCTGTATACCAGAATCTACTTCAGTGACGGAACACTTAAACACATTGAACACTTTATTTCCCCAGCTTACATCCTTTAGATGTACGTTAGGAGAACAAGAATGTGCTGAACTTCTGCTTCAAAGTCTACCTGATTCGTATGATCAACTCATCATCACTTGACAAACAGTAATGTCACCAGTCTAGTCTTCAATGACGTTGCAGCTGTTGTTTTACAAGAAGAAAATCGGTGCTAGAACAAGGAAGAAAGACAAGTAAATCTGCAACAAGCAGAAGCGTTGACAATGATGAGAGGGAGATCAACAGAACGTGGCCAAAGCATCAATCACAAATATGGTAGATCGATGTCGAGAAACAAAAAGAATTTAAAGTTCTACAACTGTGGAAAGAAGAGTCACTTGAATAAGGATTGTTGGAGTCTAGGCAAAAACTCCAATCTACAAGGCAATACCGCAAACACTTCAGATGATGGAGATGTTATATGTTGTGAAACATCAACCACCGTGGAAGGTAGAAAGAGATTTACAGATATATGACTCATTGATTCAGGAGCAATATATCACATGACCTCAAAAAGAGAATGGTTCTATCATTATGAACCTGTCTCAAGAGGATCTGTGTATAGTTGCAATGATCATGCCTTAGAGATCGTTGGTATGTGAACCATTAAATTGAAGATGTATGATGGAACAATTAAAGTTGTTCGAGATGTGAGGCACGTGAAAGACCTGAAGAAAAATTTATTATCCTACGGATTGTTGGATAATAATGCAAGAAAGATTGAAACACGGAAATGAATCATGAAGGTATTCCGTGGAGCGCTTGTGGTGATGAAAGGCTAAAAGATAGCATCAAACTTGTACATGCTGAAGGGAGAGACTCTGCTAGAAGAAGAAGCCTCTGTTGCCTCATGTAGTTCAGATTCTGCAATGTTATGGCATCAGAAACTTGGACACATGTCAGAACAAGGAATGAAATTCCTTGTGGAGCAAAAGCTACTTCTAGGCTTAACAAATGTATCACTTACTTTGAGTGAGAATTGCATAACAAGTAAGCAACACCAGTTGAAATTCAACACGTCAAATTCTAGAGGAAAAAGTGTTCTAGAATTTGTTCATTCTGACGTATGGCAAGCACCAGTTACATCCCTAGGCGGAGCAAAATACTTTGTCTCATTTATTGATGACTACTCTAGGAAATATTGGGTGTGCCCTATTAAGAAGAAGTCAGATGTGTTTTCAACTTTTAAAAATTCAAAGCGCGGGTGGAACTTGATTCTGGAAATAAGTTCAAGTGTTTCCGAACAGATAATGGAGGAGAATACACAAGTGAAGAATTTGATAACTTTTGTAGAAAATAAGGCATCAAAAGACAGTTCACAGTGGCGAACATTCCTCAACAGAATGGAGTGGCAAACCGGATGAACATAACCTTGTTAGAAAGAACAAGAGCAATGTTGAGGGCTGCAGGCCTAGAAAAATTATTTTGGGCATAAGCAGTCAATAACGCCTGTTATTTGGTGAATCGAGCTCCATCAACTGCAATAGAGCTGAAGACACCAATGGAGATGTGGACTGGTAAACCAGTTGATTATTCAAACCTCCATGTATTTGGAAGTATTGTGTACGTGATGTACAACTCCCAAGAAATTTCAAAGTTGGATCCAAAATCTAGGAAATACAAATTTTTGGGGTATGCTGATGAAGTAAAGGGGTATCGCTTGTGGGATCCCACTGCCCGTAAAGTGATCATTAGCAGGGATGTTATCTTTGTAGAAGATAAAATACAAAGAAAAAAAGAAGATGATAGCACTGAAAAGTCAGAGACTACACATATACATGTGGAAAAGGAGTTTGAACAAGGAGATTCTTATGAAGTAGAACCAGCACATGATGAACATGAACAAGAGAGTTCTGAAGCTCCAACAACTCGTCAATCAGATCGTGTGAGAAGACGTCCTAATTGCCACTCAGATTATGTTATAGAAGAAAATATTGCATACTGCCTTTTAACAGAGGACTGTGAGCCATCAACATACCAGGAGGCAATAAATAGCTCAGATGCTTCAATGTGGATGATGATGATGCAAGAAGAAATTGAATCCCTTCTTAAAAGTAATACATGGGACCTTGTGCCACTACCACAAGGAAGGAAGCCAATTGGTAAAAAATGGGTCTTCAAAATCAAGCAAAATGGTAATGATCAAGTTGAGAGGTATCGTGCAAGACTGGTGGTCAAAGGATATGCTTAAAAAGAAGATATCGATTTCAATGAAATCTTTTCTCCCGTGGTTCGACTAACAATAGTTTGAGTAGTCTTGGCAATGTGTGCTACATTGAATTTACATCTAGAGCAGCTAGATGTTAAAACAGCTTTTCTTCATAGAAATCTTGAATAAGAGATTTATATGCTCCAACTTGAAGGTTTTGAAGAAAGAGAAAAGAACTTGGTTTGTAGGTTGAACAAATCTCTGTACTGTCTAAAGCATGCACTGAGGTGTTGGTATAAGAGATTTGATTCCTTCATTATGTGCATTGGATACAACAGACTTAATGCATACCCTTGTGTTTATTTCAAGAGGTTTGGTGATAACGATTTTGTTATATTGTTGTTGTATGTGGATGACATGTTGGTTGCAGGACCCAACAAAGATCATATTGAAGAATTGAAGGCGCAACTGGTTAGAGAATTTGAAATGAAGGACTTGGGATCATCAAACAAGATTCTAGGGATGCAAATTCGTCGAGACAGAAGTAATAGGAAGATTTGGTTTTCACAAAAGAATTACTTGAAGAATATCTTGTCACGATTCAACATGCAGGATTGTAAGTCAATTTCTATCCCTCTTCCTATTAACTTCAAATTATCCTCCAGTATGAGTCCTACCAGTGAAGATGATGGAGATGTCTCGAGTGCCGTATGCATCGATAATGGGAAGTTTAATGTTCGCTATGATATCCACAAGACCAGACATTGCACAAGTAGTGGGAGTGATTAGTCGGTACATGGAGAATCTATGCAAAGAGCATTGGAATACAGTAAAGAGGATCCTGAGATACATCAAAAGGACCTCAAATATTACATTATGTTACGGAGGATCAAATTTACTTATCAATGGGTATGTTGATTCTGACTATACAGGGGATTTGGATAAAATCAAATCTACTACAGGATATGTGTTCAAAGTTGCTGGTGGAGCTGTAAGCTGGGTTTCAAAATTGCAGTCAGTTGTGGCTACATCCACAACAGAGGCATAATATGTAGTAGCTACACAAGCCAGTAAGGAAGCAATTTGGTTGAAGATGCTATTGGAGGAGCTTGGGCACAATCAAGAGTATGTCTCTCTGTTTTGTGACAGTCAAAGCGCCTTGCATTTAGCAAGGAATCCAGCATTTCATTCAAGGAAAAAATACATATGAGTTCAGTACCATTTCATTCAT